CCCCCCCACCACCCCACACTGCTCCTACCCTCCACTCTGTTCAGCCAGATGCTGTTGATACAAGTTATATAACTCATATATGAATGCATGTAAATCCCTTTGCATCCACATGGAAAACATTATTATCTTGGCCATGGTTCCCCCACAAGCCCCCCCCACCCCACACTCCTCCTGCCGTCCACCACTACTTCTTACTTGACTGAATGTAAAAGCCCTTTGCATCCACATGGAACGCTATTATCTTGACTTAGTTTCTGAACAGTCTAAAATGGTTTCTGAATCGACTGTTTTGGTTTCTGAATCGGCCGTTTTGGTTTCTGAATCGGCTGTTTTGGTTTCTGAATCGGCTGTTTTGGTTTCTGAACCGGCTCTTTTGGTTGCTGAATCGGCTCTTGTGGTTTCTGAATCGTAGTTGCTGAATCGCCTGGTTTGGTTTCTGAATCGGCCGACTTGGTTTCTGAATCGGCTGTTTTGGTTTCTGAATCGGGACTCGCTTGGTTTCTGAATCGGCCCGTTTGGTTTCTGAATCGGCTCATTCGGTTCCTGAATCGGACCATTTGGTTTCTGAATCGGACTGTTTTGGTTTCTGAGTCGTAGTTGCTGAATCGGCTATTTTGGTTTCTGAATCGTAGTTTCTGAATCGGCTGTTTTGGTTTCTGAATCGTAGTTGCCTGATCGGTTGGTTTCTGAATCGCTAATGACCCTTGGTTTTGTTTCCTCCTGGATATGAACCGGAAGTTCCGAACAGGAAAGTTGTAACTGTCATTTCTCTTTCGTTTCTGAAGTCAATCCTCTTTCGTTTCAGCCCTCAGCCCGCGTCCTGCAGCCCTCGCTGTGCTATGGCGCTCATAGCTTGGCTTCGCTCCTGAAGGCGGCAACAAGCTTCGCTCCCACGGCTTGAGCTAGAAATTCACCCCACCCGAAACTCGCCCGAAACTCGTGAGATTTCCCCCGTCCTTTCGCCACTGCTTCACTCTCATCTGTGATGTTGCACACACCTCTAGACTGCAGCACCCAAAGACCAAGCTTTCCACAAAATGGTTTCAAGATCGTGCATTCTCAAGGAGGTGAAGCTTAAAATGTCTCAAAATATTGACCTCCTTACTCCTTACCTCGAGAACGAATACACAGTACGACGTTGCTCAGTTTCATGCGAGAAGACTTGTGGTCAGCAGTGGGCCAACAACAAACAATGACACCTTTCGTGCCTGCAAGCACTTTTGCTTCTCTGAAGGGCTCGGCTTTAGTATGTTTGGTATCTTCTGAATGTGACTTGGCTCCACTGATCATCCTGAGAACACATTTCTGCTAAGGATAAGGATGACCAAGGTCTCATGGTGCCAAACGTCACCAGGTGTTCCGTGGCGGGGCTGAGAATCTTCGGAGAATGAATGGTGAATGTGGGGAAGAATGTGCAGAGTTTAGGTTAAACTGCGACGCAGTTCTGACGTTTCACCTTCCGCTGTTGCGTGAAAAACGCATACACTTCGGGTACTAACGAGGCAATACAAATATAACCTTGCATGCAAGGTCAGTCTCTTCCAGGAATAGGTCCACCCTATGAACCTTTAGTAGGGTGTGTAGAACTTGCCACTCTCCAAGGGTCCAACAAAAAATATTGAAAAGAAACGGAAGAGGTAAAGAGCCCCTAGTAGCCTCCTTGCTCCTAGTAGCGATGCCCTTTGCTCCTAGTAGCTTCTTGTTCCTAGTAGCAAGGCCAGGAGCCCCTAGTAGCGTTCTTGCTCCTAGTCTAAAAACTAAATCAAATAGAACATGAACGACACCATTCTAGTCTAAAAACTAAATCTAAAACTAAATCTTCCAGCTCCACCTGGCCTCTTCCAGCTTGTCTGTGCATCCAGTCCGACAAGGCAACGGGGAGCCTTCAACCTCAGCGCGGTCCGACATGTTTTCTTTGGTGCCACCGTCCCAAACCACCTTCCGTCTGGAATCAGAGAGTAAATAGAACATAGTGTTGATGAGCTCCAACCTATAATAGCGGTTGGCGATGGCCTCCAACCTACTAGCGATGGCTTCCAACAAAAAAACGATTGTGCTGTGGAGTCCATTCTTCCTGAGATTGTGGACTTGATGACTCTACTTTGAACGAGCCGCCCGTGCTGGGGACCGGTAGTCAAAGTCGAAGGCACGCGCACGTGCCGGCGATGGGGACGCCAGGACTGCCCGATTGTGCACAAAATCATCAACAAATGGACGATCAGCTTCTCGAGCTAAAAAGAAGAACAGAACGCAACTTCAAACTTTATGCACCCCACCGAAAGAGTTTTATAATGTATATCCCTACCCATACATTTGAGGCAACCAAGAAGGCAATTCAGTCAAAACTAAACCCCTGTGATTCCGCCAAAAGTGGTTTGATGGTTGTAAAGGTGAGCGATTACGGTATCCGGTAAGGATCGAGTGAACACCTCAAAGTATTGGCAAAATATGACAAGATCCCACACACGCCTGTGGCAGCCATGCTGCTGTCACTGCCAACCGACTGTCAAAAAACTGATCAAATGTCTGCGGGTGAAATTGAGAATAAAACACGACGAATGGTTTAAGCACAATGATTGGTGATAGTCCTTGCACCAGCAAATGAGAGAGCAGATTTATAGAATACCTTCAGAACGCTCCCCTTCTTCACCTCTCATGAAATGTATGACGTGAAGGAAAATGTCCTTTGACTGTCATTGTGTGTGTGCTTTATCTGTGACAATCCAAGTGCTTGGCGCCAGCCCCTTGTTGCAGCCGTCAATTCGGGCTGGTCTAACATTCGATGCAAAAGCATCCTAAGACCCAGGTGATCCTCTGGGGCCTTTGTGGCCATCCACCGACCGGCATCTCCAGCTTCATTGCTTGGGCTAACTCTGAAGGCTAGGCTCGACAGGAGCTGCCGACAAGAAATCGGCTTCCGTCCAGAAACCCCCAAGCGTGCTCTTGGCTTTTGGTTTGGGTGATTTGTAACAACCAACATAAACACTGGTGAGAAGTGAGGCTTCAAGATTGCCGAGAGCTGGAGCATCAAACCTCAGCGTTGAAGTGCATTCCTGAAAGACATTTGATGGATAACAGCTCGATGAGCCACTGGGCGTTGGCTCGGGTTGGGTTGCTGTCCGGCTTCCACATTCCAGTGCTTCAATATTGGAGGGCCTTCGATCCAATATTAACACCCCATCAATAATCGTTCTGGTGCTTTGAAGATTTGAAGGTCCGGAAGGGGTGAAGAGGGAAAGGAAAAGAACGATAAGCGAACGAACGAGAGGGCCAGAGGGCAGGAGGATCAAACTTCTGTGAGACCCTGGAAGACTTCCACAAAATGCCTCAAGAAACGCCTGGACATGTCCTCTGTCAGGTCTCTAAGCCCACAACCATGGCAGATGTATCCTCGCAAGTTGAGCACAGGACAGCCCTTACGAAAACCAGTTAGTGATGTAGAATTGACAAATGTTGTGTCCTCTGCTTGTGGCTTCAGCAGGTTGGAGTGTCTGATTGCACAATGCTGTGCATTGGTCTCCAACCTTTCATCTCACTGGAATTTCAATCAAAAGAAGTAGTAAAAAAGGGATCCTGATTGACAGAAGCAATGAATTTGCAAGCTCATGACAGACAACAAAGCGGGTCTAGCCTTTTCTTTTTCTCAAGATCCTTCGTGTGCGAAGCAGCGTAGAGAAAGTACCTATAAACAGATTCGGTGCAGCTTAGCAGGGAACGCAAATCTCTGAAAGTGACAGTTCCCAAAAATGTAACACATGAGCACCTCATCTTGGTGCTAATGTCCTCCAAGTACTCACTCTGGGAAGGCTCGTCCAGAGAGGAGTAGTAGCTGAGGCGATGAGAGGAACGGAAAAATCAGCTCTCAAACTCTTTGGATGAAAGTTCGGGTGTCATGGTTGAAAGCAAAATAACAAACAATTACTGACATGAAGTAAAGTCGATCGTTAAGTCGATGGGACCAACAGCTACCGATTGGAGAGATTCCAACCTGCTTTCTCCACGCATTGATTGAAACATCATCTTCCCCCCACTACTGTTGGGCCATTGCTTCTAGCTTGGAGGCCATCGCTACTAGGTTGGAGGCCATTGCTACTAGGTTGGAGGCTCCATGATAACCAATTGCCGCACCTTCGCTCCCAGCGCTTGACGCCACGGAGGACCAGCTCGTCCCGGCGCTTGACGCACTTAATGAAGCGAATCCTCGGACAGCTATCGGAAAGCAAGTCTTTTCTTTGCCAGTGCAAAACATGCAAGTTCAGCCAAACTAATGCTATAATATGCTATATATACAAATTATATAAATATAATATAATGCTATAATATGCTATATGAATATATGAACACTGCATTTATAGAACTCTCGTAAGCTAGCAGGGCCAGGCGGCCAGGAGCAAAGATGATGTTTAGATCATTCCAGCCGTGCTGAGCCAGTGCAGGTGATGAAAAATACATGAGGGCCTGAGGCCCTGACCAATGCGGTTTGCAAATTGTCATCCGTGAATAAGGATGATTCGCATTTTCATTCTCAATTCCCTGACGGCCACCCAGTGGTCAAAACAACCATGAAGGGGGAAAAAAAAACTTCTGTTCACTTATATAAAACATTGCGAACTCAAAAAATGAAAATGACTGCCTGCCATGCTAAGCATGTTGACCAAAGGACCAAAGGAGTCTGCACACAGCTTTCAATGTGCCTTGTCAATACAGCGGTCAAGGCTGCGGAAGACTGTGTCACAAAGGCTGATGTCCTGATGTCACAAAGACATGCTGAGTCCGCAAGCAAATGTCCCGTCAACCCTGACACTGACTTGAGCAGACTGAAAAAGTATCAATAGGCTTGGCGATGTGATTCACGATATCAAAGACACAAAGCACAGCAAGCACATGGAGGCTCTCCTTGGGGAGTTCCTCGACACCCATCATGGTGGGAAGGATTGGGAAGGTCATCCTGTCCTCGCACTCAAAACACGAAACAAATCCCAATTGAAGTCATCCATAACCTTGCGGCATGTGAAATATGGCACAGCTTATCCTTGCGCAAGGGCACATCTAAGTACATGTCAAGTCATATCCCAAACACTTGTCAGATCTCTTGTCACAAAATCAAAATGAAACCCATAGCAGCAACCTTGTAGGCGTGCATCTCAGTCCAAGTTAACCCATGACCTCTGCGAGTGAAAGCTTGAAATCTGGCATATTCAAAATCCCAGCTAGAGGTGGAGCTTTTTCATTATAGTATTTGGCTCAGAAAGAAAGAGGACTGGCTTCCCCAAGCTAACAACCTCCCCACCAAGTGGAAGACGTCAGCTTTGCACATGATGAATGATGATGCTTGTAGGCGGGCCAGCATCCCCTCAAATAAGGCTACACAGACTCGCTGAGAGTCCGGCGTTTCTCTGCACTGTTGAGGCGTGCCTTCTCAGGCTCCTGTCAGCGGTGGAATCCTCTTCCAGAAAGCGCAATCACAAATTCCGCAAGGCCACATCAACCCAAGAAAACACTTGGGTCAAGTCTCCAATTAAACATGATGAACTGTCGCAACTGTGGGGTTTTGCATGAAATCTTCATCATCATGCTGTGATTCACAAGGTCACACAATGCAAAATAATCCTTTCCGGAAAAAGAAACAATAGCATCCAACAAATTCATTGTAGTAGAGGCAGACATGCAAAAACAATCCTGACAAAACGTTTGTCGCCTACTTCCCCACGACCTGCGGCATATTTCTGTTCTCCTTGACCCTTGTTAGATTGTGTGGTTTTGCATTGATGTAACACACACACAGAGAGATGTATACAAACATGTAACGATGCGTGTACGTATATGTAATCTAATATATATATATATATATGTGCAAAAATGGTGATGTGTAAATGCAAGTGTATGAATGTATATCTACATAGTATTTGTTCAGGTGCGAACTGCCAAGGTTACGCATGACACAAAATCAAGGTGGGAAACGTGCAGCACTTGCACCTGTACCCCTGTTCTTGGCAGATTTCCGTCGCCTCAGCTTTACTTCCATACGTTTACGGTTCAATTACGAACTGGTGAGGAAGTTGTAACAAGTTATATACTGAACCATTGCTTACTCAAACAAACCTATGAGACATGGAAATGGTGCAAGGCGTCACAATCAAATTCTTATCAGCAGCAGCTGTTCATCCACTACATGCAGGTTTTTGCAACTCGCCTGCTGCCGACCAAGGACTCGTTTTACTGTACCACGTTCCCCTGCAAAACGAAAAAACTCTTGACAAAGACTAAGTTTACACACTGCATGGCATTGAGCAACATCAAATCGAAATGGCCATGGACTACTGTACTCTTGAACTCTCCTTATCTAAAGTTCTAAAGAACCTTGCCACTCCGACCTGAATCCCGTTCTCTCGCATTTTCGGCCATCAAACCTGCAAAGCTTCGCATCACGAGTGGCATGTCTACTGACTAGCACACAAATGGACCTCGAGAATGTGCGAACTACGCGATCAAGTTGGAGCGCTGCACTGGAACACAAAAATGTCCCCAGAGCATCGATGGAGGTTCTGTTGTTTTGGTCCTATGATGTGATTTGGCATCCAGCCCAGCCCACAAGTGATCTTTTACATGTTGTGTGCCATATATTAAATATATTTTTTTTAATGTTTCTTTAGTTGCTCTTTTTGGCATAATGTTTGCTATTGAGCCGGAAGGATGATGTCTGGAAATATCAGACCATGGATTTGGAGTTGTTTCCCCCCAATCGAAACCAACATGTTCGGCCCATACGCATGTGTTCAAAGCAAACCCTCTCCGATCGCATCATTTTTCGCATCCAACACACATCTCATATAAAACAAACGGGTTGCGATTGGACAGGTGTTCGGTCAAGTGTACAGGCACAGCCACAGTGAACGAACACACACCAGAGCGCACCACAAATGACCACCAAACACAACACAAAACAAACACAACCACAACCAGAGAACCAGGCACTCAAAAAGGGAACTTGCAATTGAAAGTAATCCAAGATCTCACCGCGGTGAACGGTTAAAGAGTACGGGCATGACTCACCGGGTAATGATCTTGACATATACAGCAACGATTCTGCCCACAAACCGAAGAGCCGCAGATGAATTAGCACATGGGATGTCCAATTACTTTGGAGGTTTTTTTCAGCAAAACCAAAATCAAACCGAATTAGTGAAACCGGAATCAAACTGCATCTATGCAAAACGACCCGCTCACTCCAAGACTGAGGGTTTTGAAATGTGATGCGGCTAAGAAAGAATTTTTTTGATGTCGGTGGTCACGCACGTGGCTTTCACTGACCGCTGCGAGGTCCAGGGCTCTGCTAAATCAGGAACAAGGTTTCGTAATTTGAGTTTCTTTGCCACCGAACCTGTGATTGCGCAGTTCTCGCATTTTTCACCACATCTTTGTGTGGTTTGTTTCCTTGCAGCAACTCCTTCCTCCTTCCTCCGTCCTCCGTCCTGCTTCCTCCAGCCCTTGCCCCTTCCCCTTGTTTTCTGTGTTTTTTGTGCTCTTC